GAAAGAGGAAGTTGAAGAATCATTTTTTCTCATTTACAATGAAAATTTACACAGTTTTATGCACTATTGAAAGGAGGTTGAGTTTTTCAGAGACCAAAATTGAGGTATCGACTGAAGACGATAAACTTCGTATTCTTCATCAAAATTTATCCAGATAAGATGAGTAGGATGATAGTTTTTCGCAAGTTAGAACTCTGTCTATAAGATTCTACGGATAACATTTATGACGCTTTGTCAGCTCAAATTCATATTGATGATTAAAGCTGAAATAAATTCTTCGATAGTTTCAACTCTTTTTCCTTTTTCCAGATTACATAGAAGAACCTTTTGTGTCTAATATTTTCTTCGTTTACATTCACACAAACGATTACTAAGGGTGTGGGTGTGGGTGGGATCTCTTTCACTACAACCACACCCACACCCACACTGCTTCGAATCAAAAAAGAGAAATAAACTCAAAGAGAAGAAATGTAATAAAACAAGTAGCAATTAAACTTTGCTCTTCTATTAACAAAACTAAATATTTCATATATTATATTATTAATTACATAGTAGCAGAAATAATGAGGAGGATAAGGAACGTGATCCTCACCATACCATTAATTGTGACGGTTTTGAAGAAATTATTTCTTTCTCATTGAACGAAGTCTAACAGTCTAAGCCTTCCCATGCGCTCACCTTTCCAACAAAATCTTGATTTCGTTCAGATCATTAATCACTTGTTAAGAAAATATATCGATCACGAATTCAAGATCTAAACAATAAATAGGAAAAATTCATGCTCTCTCTCACAGTCCATTTACCATGTTCCTGTGATGACTTTACAATTCAACAGAAAAGCAAAACTTTGTTGATTTGCTTTCATTCAGTATGTGCATAATATGAATGTACAGACGGATCTTGTTGAATACAATTGACTTACGCAGCTCATTCACAGAGATAATTTGACCGGAGATTAAAAGCGATCGTAGGAATCCGATTTTTAACAGCATCAAATGATCATTTTTTTGTGTTCTATAGAGGTACAAAAGAGGGACAATAGATTCAACTATTTGAATAATTCTATTTATTAGTTTTCGGACGTGCTTAAATATGAGACTATTCAACTATGGCAACGGAGTACTGGTATACCTTGGATAGTTTTGTCTACTATCTAATCATTCAAGTCCTATAAAAATGAATTTGATTGATTATTTTCATGGCCAAAGTGTCGATCACGTTTTCTATTCATCATTGACCGAATATTATCATCTTCCAGGTCGTAGATCATCTTCCTTACTCGAAGTGTTCATGTGCTTGCAATAAAGCGTGACAACATTGGCAGTCTATTCGCAGCAAAACAACTTTATCAACTAAATCTGATCGTGCTATCACCAAAATTGTAGCTGATAATGACCGAATGCTAGCTTCTTTTGAATTGCAAGTGCTGTCGAATGCGCGATCTAACGCATATTTATTGGCATAGTCGAACTCAACAAGACTGTCAAATAAAAAATAAATCCTTTTTATATCAGGAAATATATTTTTATCTTGATGATATCGTTGACAGAGAGATTTTCCCTATTTTTTTATGAATCACGGCCATTGTAATATATCTTGTCATAACATAAGAGTTGATCAAAGTCTCTATTTATTCTTTAAATGTGCGCTAGTATTTATTCTACAATTTCATAAAATGCCCACACCATAATCATTATTATTCTATCTACTGTAAAGATTAATGCATTATAAATAAATAAAAAATGTTGTTAATTATTTGGAAATACTCTTGACTTTATTGTCATTGTCAACATGAATTATAACGAAACTGGGATTTTCGGCATCTGCTTGCGACAATCCACACATCATGGGTTGTAGAATACGAGTTTGATAACCTAAATTAAGATTCATTTAGTGTGAACGGCAAAGATTCAGAATCGAACATACCTTCTGTTTGTAAAGCTGATGCTGCTTCGTTACCATCCATTCCAATGAGATGGGGCCATTTTGTCGACATTGTTGATTGATAATATTTTCCTTGCGTTTACCGACTTAGCTGCCTACTCGATGACGAAGACTGCGTGAAGTGATTAAACGAGTAAGCGAGAGAGCTAGAGAGAGAACGAAAGAGAGAAATAAAAGCGACAGTTTGAAAGTGTAATAGACAAAAAAACAAACGCAATGAAGTATGACTTGTCACTCTTCATGAGAATATCGTTATGAGGTAGTAGATGAAATACAAGCAGTCATGTGAATCATAGGTAGTTATTTTTTTTCTAGTGGTATGCATGATGTACTATTTTTGCGCTGTGTTTTGTGCTCTGATTGTATGCTTTAGCGAACGACCATGACATTCATCAATTTTATGTGAAATATTTGTGTTCCGTCCAGGAATCTTCCAAGCGAGTAGTTTCGTGTTCGTTGCATTAAAATTTTGTTTTGATGATTGTTAACGACACAACGGAGTGGAGGAATGCATATTTATATTTGAAATTATCAATTCAAATATCCGGGTTGGCATAGAGTTCGAAGTATTCCCTATCCGTATACCTAATATTCAATAATTGAATAAAAATAGAAGTTTTCGTGATATTGGCTATTTTATAGCTAGTGTAAATTCAAAATTACAGATGCTTTTGTTTATTCTTACAGGCAATACTTGGTTACAGACATTGCCAGGTTTCAATCCACAAAATAAAATATGAATTTGGAAATATCAAGATAAATTTTCACATTTTGTATCATATGCTAGCATCGTCCAAAACATCAAAGGTTGCAATGATCAATTGATCAACGACTGAATATTGTGATTAACTCCAGCAGAAATGATCAGTAGAATATCAGTATGACTGCTGATAAGGATAAGAAATATGGAAAATAAACGATGAAGACTAAGAAAATTTATCTTAGAAGTAATGAAATGATAGCAAACACGAAATGAGATCGAAATGATGACCAACAAAAAAATAATAAACTGAGCAAAGAAATGACGGAGAACGTTACAGTAACAAATGAAGAAGAAGAAAGAGGGTGTGATAATAAAAGAATTCTAAAAATATTACCATTGGATAGAAAGACAGAGGCACATTCATCAAAATAATCCTTTTTTAAGAGTAAAAAGTGTGTTCTAACAAATTTTCATACCTGTAAACATTTTTCCATGATTCTCGAGACAATGATCAGGTATCTCCTTATCGTTTGATCTTTAGGCAACTAAAGATATGAACTAATTTTTAGTGATGTTTATAACAGAAAAAAAAAGATTTTTGATTTTGATTCATACAGTCAAAAAAGATGATTATATGAGTTGTTACTTGTGTTTCATACATTATTACTTCAATTAGCTTGTATATTGATGGATGAATCACTGTTTAGAAATACAGGGTCTGAGTTTGGGTGTAGGTTATTCTTCTTCGATCACCCACACCACAGGAGTTCATGTGTATTATGAATCGCACCAAGAGTTTGTGAGAATCAATAAATGTCTCAACGATTTCTAAAAAGATCTCCGAAAGACTATAGCATTACCAAAAACTCCTGAAAATTTTTCAGTATGGTTCATAAGAATCATCAAGTGCACTAAGAATGTGAGCAACAGTAGATGAAATCCTATGAAGAACTATTCAAAGCAGTCATTAATATCATGAAGACTTCTGAGGCGGTAAATGGAAGCCTTTATTCTATGAACTACATAAAGCTTACAAAAGAGTTATGGAAACGGTCCTTAAAATACTTGAACGTTTCAAAATGCCAGACCACTTAATCGTTTTTCAAACACACTAATGCCGAAGACTGCAACAAAACACTGGAAAATTAAACCGTTTTATACTACTCATCTTATGACATGTTGAAAAACTATCAAGCACTCTCAACACGAGGCAAAAGCAAATAAAACTTCTGATTTTCCTCTGTTTCAGTTACGAGACGGCCAACTATATCATGATGAACAAAACTACCGTAAAATAGTTGAGTCTATCTTTCAAGAAAAATGACGCAACAAACTACCTTAATAACTAAATGAAGAAAAAAAGAAAAAATTACATTTCGCACCACCCTCTTATTCAGAATTCTGGTAATATAATCTGTTTACGATCTTCGGACATGGGAAAAAAACAGGGTGTTCGGAACGGAGCTCGTAAATGAAATACAACAAAAAAATGGGGTGTTCGAAATGAACTCTGTACAGGAGTTTGGGAAGAGTTCTGACAATAGCTTTCGAAGATCGAACAGCAAAATTCCACTAGAGATCGGAATGACAACATCTGGAAGTTCGTAAAGACAAAGACAGAAAAGTCGGGTATGGGTGTGGGCGGGGTATAGTTGTGGTCATGGGTATGAGTTTTTGATCCAGTACACCCACACCCCACACGCACCTCACTCACACCCACATCGTCTTCGAATGACATGTGAACTGTTTCGAAATTTCTGTCGCTTTTATACATAAAAGAACAGAGACAAAAACAAGGAAGAAAAAACTGGAACTTTCATTCTCTTATCATACATGTTGTACTACCTATGTAAGACGTAAAAGAATGCAAAAACAACTTAAGGGATTTTCCGTATGATCATAAAAAGTGACTCATTATGTGGTGATATAAAGAAGAGAACAGTGAATAATCAGTAGAAAATAATGACATGACCATTAAGTGCATGTTAAGCAGTGAGATCCGAATTCGTTCTTCGGAAACCAAAACTCAGACAGCAAACAAGACGACGACAGTGAAATGAGGACGGATTGAGTGACCAACGAAAACAAAAAAAAGGAGAAAAGAAAAAGAAATGGGAAATTGAGAATGAATGATCGTGTAATGACACGAATCATAACAGTGCATTCATTAGAAGTTAACTGTCGATGAAAATTAATGTTTTGAAAAAATTTTCTAACACAACTGAATTGCGTCGAATGTGTTAAAATAATGCAGAGGTCAGTCTGTTTTCGATTGATTTATGCTCATCCTCAAGATAGTTTTTATTCAAGATTTCATTAAAAAAATAGATGATTAGATAAATCTAATGTATAATCAATCCATCTTTTCATCAATCCATATTTGTAATTTTGTCTGAATATGTCGACTCTTATCTCTGTCAGGAGGTATAAATCGAAATATTAAATTTCGTTTTATCGCTTCATCTTGCAATTGAGAAAAAAATTTTTCTTCATAAATCCACGCGGGCGATATGTTCCATATACTTATTGCCGAAAATTTTGAAATGTGACTTATTAAAGATATCCAAAAATCCCAAGCATTTTGAGAAGACATACGAACGAAGCCACAATAAAGTTTTTCTACACTTGAAAATATTTCATGAAATTTTTCCATATCATGATAACCATGACAAGCAATTATACGTGATGTTTTGATCATTTTGCTTAAATATTCACATAATTCTCTATTGTCGAAGAATGATCGAATAAGATCAGTATCAACAGTCATTTCTGATAATTGTGGTGATTCTTTTAATATTTGTAATAAAATTGATGTTTTTATATGATAGGATGCCAAATCTAAATGTTTTAATTTCGACAGATTAACCTTTTCTTTCAGATGTTGTATGTTTCCTTCGTTGAATAAATGGTCGTTAATATTGGATGGCCAGCCCATGTTCGTTATGTTTAGTTCTGTGACATTTGAAAAGTAATATGGATATTTATTTATTGATAAATTATCATACAATTTTCAATTTGTCACTTTATCATGTACATTAAAATAATTTACCGGTTTATTTGAATAACTATCCGTATACCATATTAATTCATATATATTTGAGTAATAAGGTGTTGTAAAAATAAGTGCAAAATTAATGTCTAATACATATACAGTATCCCAATGATGTTGTATTTGCCAAAAATCACTTTGAAACTGTTTAAACATATTAATAATGTCGTTGTGTTCTTGCCCTCCATGATAAATTTCGAATTTGAACATAAAATTATTTAAGTAGGGTAATGAAGATTTAATTAAATTTTCCCATGCATTAGCATCGATCATACTTTTATGAATAGAGGCAGATATTATTAAACTTTTTAAATTGGGTGTTTGTTTTACTAACATTTGAAAGTATACAAATTGATGTTGAAAATCATCTATAATTAATTCTTTTAGATAAACAGCACAATTATCATTAGTTATATACGAAATATTGTTCATCGGTTTGTTCAAATTGAGTTTTACAATATGGAGATATTTTAACATCGGCATATATTTGAACAGATAGTTTAATTGATTACAGTAATAATAGTTAACTGTTAGCTTTGTAATTGATGAAATTTGGTTGGTAGACATTAAATCAAATTCTAATTTTGATACTGATAAAGTTCGTAATTGAGACATTGGTAGAGCAGATGTTACATCATTTATTTTATCGTCGAAGATTACCAAATGACAATAACGTAATTGAGGTATTAATGGTAACATTGATTTCAATAATATCCCATCATCTTCTTGAAGATCAATCAATGATAATGATCGAAGATTAGAAAATTCATTCAATGAAAAAAATGTAAGAAATAGTTCGATTTGACCACATGCATCTTTATTTGATAAATTTAATGAATAAATATGTTGTTTTATTTCTGGATTTAATAAAATTGTTGTACAAAATCGATCAAATGTCTTCTTTCGAACATTTTCAAAATTTAGATATCAAATGGAATATTTTGAATTAATTTGTTAAAACGATTATTTAATTGATCAAATGAATGAAAAATATCAAATGTATTAAGATACTGAAAGGATTCGATCATTATTTCGTTTGGTAAAAATTCAAATTTACTCATAATAGAACGAATGAGTTTGAATACAAAATAGACGATTGTATAATATTTTTTAAAAATAATTTATAATTTAGTTGGTTTTTTCCTTCATCATCAAAATATATGTAGATAAAAAAAACGCTAGGAGTGTAGTTAAAACAAGAAACGAATCGAAAAAAACAACATTTTTTGAGGGTGTGACCGTGTATTATGAAGAAGAATATTACGACTTGTTTCGTTCTTTCTCAAAGAACTCGTCAGGTTGATTTTTAATGCAGCGCGAAGCAAAGCATTTATGTATTCCGGCACGAGTTTTTTTTTTCTTTCTTCCTTGACGTACGCATAAAAATTTCCAATTTTGTGTCGTAATGATCTTAGTATACCAGAAAATATTCGTTCAAACATGAAATCAAAATATCGAGATTGAATTTGTACCATTTACTTTCCGATTTTTAATGAGACCTTCTATTTCGCAGGGACAAGTCCGACACAAACGTGATTTTTCCTATTAAATTTGTTTTTTCAACGTTCGGGATAATTAAAATGAGACTAGCAAGAAAAGTTAGGCAGAATTGTCCTTGAAAGATAATGAATCATATAGATAATTAAAACAATCAATCAATATTGCTCTTTAGAAACAAGTTGACATGCGTTAATAGATTTTTCTTAGTAATAAATCTCACAATGTCTATTTCTCACTTTGTTTTCGATTCCAACCAGTGGGTCGAAATCTAATATTTTTCATTATATCCATAGAAAGAAAAAAACTTGTCTCAGTATAGAATAGAAATGTCTTTTGGAAAAAAAAATTCTGCACTCTATCGTAGAAACGATTATTCGTTTGTTTCGACCTATTTCTTTCTCGACAATTGAAAACTCGGAAAAACTTCACACCATATTTCGCATACGAGTTCGTCTCGTGTGCCATTTAGTTTATTACATTATATTTCTTCATTGTTAACACGAAAAATGTGCAACTTTCTTTCTAAGAAGTCAATTACTTTTTTTTAGCTGGTTTTCATATTATCATATCATAATGATTGGATAAGTTAATATCAAAATTTGGAGATTACTTGACGGGAAATGTATCAACACACTAATTTGAAATTAGAGTCGGATCAATTGATCGAGAATACACACATTGAGTTAGTAACGAAGCTAATGTGAAGATCAGTTTGAACAAGAAATTCTGAAGTATAAAACTTGAAGTAATGTTAATCTGAAGATTGTAGAACAAATATTAAATATTACGTTGTTGATAATAATATACAAATCTTGTTGTTGAAATCAATAATGATACGTCATAATGGTTATTTTCAACCTTTTTCTTATAGATATGAACTATGAAGATTCCTTTATCATTGGGAGTAAAAAACTCAGCCAATTTCGTCAAACTATAACGAAAATACTCAATCTTTTCTTCGGTTAACTAACTTTTGCGTCACCTTGTACTTATCAAATCGGAAATTGAATTTAAACTATTATGAATATTCTACAGGAGGATGTGGGTGTGGGTGTAAGTGTGTAACTAAGAATGAAATGAGCACCATCACAAACGTCCACACCCACCCACATCATACACCCTCACCCAACTCGGTAATAATAAGTGGTGATGAGCTAGGAGACAGACGTTTCAGTGTTTAGAGAATTTTCTGATTGACAAAGCCAGCGACTAGCTTTGATGTCACGAAAAATTAAGAAAAAAGACTGACGGTCTATACTTAAAAATACAACGAAGAATCTGGTTCGCATCATTTATTTCTATCTCTCGAAATCGACAGTTGACTGGAATGTTTGGCAATACGCTTCTTATTACTGATTTAGATGTAAGAAAGAAAGATCTTAGTGCTGATGGAAGCATATCTAATTTATCTGATTTTCCAGAGGAAGAAGAATTTTTGATTTGGCCAGGTGCATATTTTAATTTTGTTAAATATGAACATGATGATACAAAGAAGAAACATGTTATCTATCTCAAATCGTTTGAAGGTAACAGTAGTGAGTTCTATGACCAATATTAGTAGAGATTTCTCTCTTTTCGAAATATATGTAAACGATCCACTCTATGGAATTGTTGTTTTAGTTAACTCAAACTTAACTTTCAACAGCAAGTCCAGCTGTTGATGATCTCTCAAAACTAAAGAACATCATTGGAAGGGGCAGAGAAGAAGGGAAAGGTAGTTATGCACGTATGTTCTATGCATTAACAGACGGCTTGTTTGACCACAAAAAGTTTTCTCTTTTATGTGAAACTATGTCGAGAAACAAGTTACATTAGATCTTTAACTCTTGTTTCTTTTCAACACATGACTGATACAATTAACTTAATGCTGTGTGAAAAAACAATTCAATTCATTCTTTTTTTTTTGGAGCATTTCTTGTTTCATTTATGAGCAGCCTGAATGACTATTCGCACTGACATTGATCTCTATCGAACGGATCGATAACCGTGAATTTAAATTATTAAATTACAGAATTTTTCACACAGAAATATGTGTTTTTCTAAGGTTCTCTCAAGTTTCAAAAATATTATTTCACTTTATGACAGTGCTTTTTTCAAGGTCTTGCAGTGTTTTTCAGACAACCCGATCTTGCACAGAAGGCTCAGTGCACCGACGTCTTCGAAGGTGAGAGAACGAATAATAAAAATAAAAAGCAGTGATATAAATTTGAAGAAGCTTATAAAAAAAATACGAAATCACTTCTGAAACTTTTCAAAAAAAAATTTATCACGTACAACAAAGTGCAAAAATAAAGCAAGAGCATAGTTTTTTTGTCAATATTACAGAAGTAACCTTTTCTTTTCATCATCTACGACTTTATAGAATGTCTTTGAAAATGTATAAAACAGGAATGTCATTGAAGTTACACAGAGTCGTGTCCTGGGAGTACAAATGCCAATACCAATGCAATTAAACTGAATATCCATCCGATTAGGCCTAATGCTGAAGCTGCTCCCATTGTCCGGCCATCACGAACGAACACACTCATTCCAATAGCCCAACCGATTAATCCAAACAGAAAAGAGACGAGAGCTGAATGAAAAAAGAATCGAACAAGATAATCAGCATTTGAAATAATCTAGAGCGAGTTCTTTAAAATTCTTACCCATAGCTATTGCTGCATAATGCATAACCTTTGGATGTGGTCGAAATACAATATATAGAAGTAGAAGAGCACCAATAACTATAGTCACAAATAAAATGAAAAAAATTCTTAGAAACTTTTCTGTTGAAGAGCTAATTTTTAAGTTAAAGCTCTTACATGCTGCTATTGTTGCCATTACGAAAAATGCTCGTGCAGCTTTGACCTTATGACAGTCATCATCCCCTTGACAATTTCCAGGCAAAGTGCCACTCCATAATCCAGCACCCCTTCCCCCCCGCAAAACACCATAGCTTTCATCAGCCTGTGCAACTACATAGAATATGAATGCTATTAGCCTAAAATAGAATATAGAAATAAATCTACGATCGAATTTTAAAGCTACATGTCAAGCCTATCTCCACAGAATGTTTTTTGAGTAAATTAACATCTCAGTACGCAATTTTGTGATCGGGAGGATGTATACGCCTGTAAAATGATCAGATATCGGTTTACCGACCACGATTGTACTCGGCTCTTTTAAGTGTTTTACCGTCAATCATTTTTCAAGCATCCTGCATATTTTTCACTTACAATAGTCCACCAGCAGCTACACCAAATATCAGTCGTTTCGATACCATTTTCGATCCTTTTGATAATCAAACGTATCTAATCTAAAAGATATATATATATATATATATATTATCACAAAAATGGCAATAGTTTGTAGGTAATATTTCTATCGTTTCTCATTTTCATTTTTGAGAAAAACAATAAAAGAAAAAAATAAGTTTTTGTCAAGTCAGAAAGTATTCGCGTTCCGTTTGGCTTTTACGGCAAGGTCTCTCAGTTTCAGTCCTTCTACAAAGATTCTCTCCGGCTGTTTTCAGTGTCTCCTCTTCTCACAGTACTCTAATCAACTTTATTCAAAAGAAGAAAAATCAGAAAATAACAAAGCCGTTTATTAGTTTGGTTCACGTTTACATTCTTCTTCGAAGAATTTTGAAAGACATTAAATAGAAGAAGGAGGGTCATGTAAATATCAAACTATCGAAATGTTCGACTTTCGATATCAAAAATGATAGATCAGGATTCTTGCAAAATATGAAGAAGTAGATTCACTTAAAAACAAAAAAAAACATAATGAGCACTCATCATTTCAACGAAAGAACAAAAGATGTTCGAGTTTCTAGATAAATGAATAAAACAACAAATCAACTTTAAAAAAAATGCGAAAAATCAGAAGAAGAACTAGTATACTCTAATCTTAGAGTTAGGCCACTTGTTTTAAACACAAAGATTCACTTAATTCTGCTCGTGAGCACTTTTTCGTCAACAAAGAAAATCAATCAATTAAGTCATGAATGAACTATTTCAAACATAAACCACCGGTTTTCAGTCCAAGTATACGAATTTTGGTAGAAATCAAGTTTCTTAGTCTAGTAGAAAATAATTCTCCAAAGCGAAAAAGCACGAAAGATTCCTTTTTATTGTATTTTAGATCTATCTTTAATTACTTATCGAAGTGAAAGTAATATGCTTGCATTTTAAGAGCACAAAAAGAATAACTTCTTGCTGTATTGAAGTACCTTTCAAGTCAGGTTTTTGATCAGTTTGATGCCATTTTAGGCAGATATTGATATTTCTAATTACAAAAATATTCACACAGAAAAGTTCTCTTACGCTCATCGTCTCTCTTCTAGTAAAAAGACATTTGATACACGTTCTTACGTACCCACAACCTTGACAGAGAAGTTTAAAAAGTCCAAATAACTGAAGAAATCAATTTTTTCTCTTACCTAAACTTTCTTTTTGTGAAAGTGTATAGCATGATAGTAAAAACGCACTTTCAAACGTATTTATACCAATTCTCCACCCTCACTCCATCAACAATCATATAATTTTTGTATCAGGTTTATCACACAGCAACGATATTATAAAACATTTTTACCTTGTCAACTTGCAACAAAATCCGCTTTTTTTTTGTATTAGTTTGTTATTGCTCTCTTTCTCTTACTCATAAAACTCCTTACACCCACTTATTTATCTTTACTCATTTCTTCTTCTTCTTTCTTTCTGACCATAAAAAGAAAAAGCATATCAAGAAAATAGATCGATTTCAGTAGTTGTAATCAAAAATATATTTGTAAAGACTCCACAGAGAATGGGTTATTTTTCGGAAAAAAAGAGAAGTACTTCTCGTAGAAGGGAAAAAACAATAATTAACATGGAGCCAAAGCACAGTTGTAAGATCACGTTTCTAATCAAGAAATGAAAAGCAGCTCTCTTAGAGATGAAAGAGATGAGAGCTCAATATTCAACTCCTTCATTAGACTTACACTGTAGATTTAACAGAAAAGTCTCACCTATACTGGTTCTTCTTCATTATCATTTTTTCTTATGTGAAATAACTTCAACTCCTATTTATGCAAAACAAAAAAAAAGAAGTTGATTAAAAAATTTATATTTGATGAGGTGATATTTCATCCCTCTTTTTTTCTGTCTCTCTCGTCGTTACAATATTGTCCGTCTCCTTCACTATTCTATCTCAGAGAGAGAAAAATAGAAAAAGTCCTTGCAACTTTTCTTTCTCTTTCTGAATAAGACCATAAACTACAGTAGCAGGAATGGATTTAATATATGTGTGTCTGAAATTCAGAGTGTAGAACAGAAAGAAGAATTTTATTTTTTTCGTCCTTCTATGATAATAAATAGAAGAAAGGAAAGAGTGAAGTATTATCGTAAATCCATCGAATAGAGAGAAAAGAATATAAGAACTTCATAATTAAGAACGAATTTCTAAAGATCTGCGACAGAAGAAAAGAATTTTGATGTATGTGGCAGATCTAGGACTGAGATGAACAGTGTTCCGTGGAAAAAATTAGAGTCAAAAACAATAGTGAGAAACGAGAAAAAGTGAGAGCTTGAAGGGTTTTCGAAGTTTGTGGACGAATATATAGCGTTTCTGCAACTTTGTAAACGAAGAAATAGTTATTTTGAAGATTTCGAATGTGTTTCAAAAAATTTTGTGATTCTACCAGTGAAAACCACTGTGTTTCGCAGTTTTAAAGGGATACCAGAGTGTTTTTAATGAAAACTGATGTTTTTCGACAAAAAAATGGTTTATACCTTTTTCCAAAAACATTTCATGTAATGCATTTTTTGTTTTTTAAAGAAACACTAATAAACACGTTTTACGGTCATCTCATATTAAAAACGTTTTAATACGCTTTTAAAAACTCAGAGGGTGAGTGAGTGTGGGTGTTCATGTTATTTGCACCTACACTCACACTTACACACCATCGTTTCATCTACGAAATATCAGACTTAGAAAATTCATAATTTTTTAAAACTAAGTTTTTTTTCTACCTATAAGTAGTTAGAGATCTTCAAGATTCATGATGTAATATGGGTTGATAAAAGAATCTACTTGTTAATTACATATGTTTCGAAAGTTTTCAGATAACTTGGGAAATTACTAGTAATAAAACAGGTAATGAACATTGTAGTTACTCCCGAACAGACTTACATAAAAAGTTGAAATTATATTTTTCCTTAGTTCAATGCATTCAGTAGACAAGTTATGATGAAAAGAAAAACAGATATTTAAGGGTGTTCCCTCATAACTGATTTCTCAATTTGAACGAGCTGTTTTGGCTGAAATTTTCCGGAACAGTTGGTCCTGGTGAGAAACGCTTGTAGTAAAAATTTCTGTCCGATATGTCTGACTAGATCGGACTTTCGGCTTGTTTTTCTACCTCTCAGGAGAATCGAAATAACTTCATCGTTATAAGGGGTACAGAGTTCGAGCTAAATTTCAAATTAAAGCTAGCCTCTGTGCACAACTTCTTGTTGGACGAAATTTTGAAACTTCCTTCCATTCATTTTTTATGAGCATTTTAATGGACATAGAGTTCAAAATAAGCAAAAAAAATGACACCACGAGGATAAATCTCACTTTTCCCAGTTCAGGAATTAAATATCAAAAATCCGTCTAATGAAAAGTTAGCTCTGATTAAGACCTTTAAAACAAAAAAAAACATCATTCATACTCCAAGTCGAGCGGGAGCTATTTCAATTTTCCTGCCTAGAAACCGTGTTGTGAGAAAAACGCTAAAAAAGTCATAGAAAGGGATTTTGTCATACAAATCCAAAACAAATCATATTACAATGGTATATTTTTAATTTATTCTAGTGGACCATTTTAAAGTACTTAATGGATGAATTTGATATGATAAGTCTTTGAAAGTCTAGTCATTTTCTAAAAAGTTATATATATTCTGAAAGAGGAAACTTCGCTGCATCTTCCTATGATAAAAACTCAATTTCGATATTTTTGTTTTTTGAAAAATTCGATTTTCTAAGGGGAACTCTCTTGAATACAATTCTATGTGGATTTTGTTTGTGAAATTAAAGTTGAACTTGTTGCCTGTTGAATACAAAACTGATATTGTTCATTTGCAGTATCGAATCAAATGTGATATGACCATACTATAGATGTCTTTCAGGAAAATGTGTTAACGATTGTACACCATCAACTCTTTTCAACAAAAGAAAAATAAGAAATAGAATTAACTATTGCCATAAAAAAGAGAACATTTGAAAAGAGATAAATAATGACCGAAAAAGAAAGAAAAGAATATACTTTAGTATAGAAAATAAGATTTTTAATTTGTTATGACTTATTTGAAGAAATAATGAATCTCTTTATCTAAATTGCTAAATTTTATAATTTAATACGTGTTAAAATATGAAGATCTTTTTTGATGTTAATGAGTAACTGTGGTGAAAAGGGAACATATTGAAAAGTTGCTAAATGCCATCAGTCAAGATATCATCAAACATTTACACAAAATGTTCCAACCAATTATAATCTTTATGAAACTTCTAATCCGTTCTTAATAATCAACCTGCCTGATTTTTGTAATAGTAATACGAAAATATTGTCGATAAGGACACTTCACTGAATATTAATGGTACTCAATCAGATAATATATGTAAAACTATCTATTTTTATCATAACAAATTTTTCATTTATGTCTAAAAAATAATTTCTAGCATTGAAGGTCATAGTAGTTAAAACTCTCAAGTCCAAGTTTGCAATTTTCTGTTAACTTCCTGGACCAGGATCATCTGATTTCCGATCCGAACAAAGTATGTCGTATCTTAGAGGCGACTAGGGTGTGGGTGTGAGGTGTGTGGCTATGGGTGTGGGTGTGGGTGCGGGTGTGGGTGCGTCAAGAGGAGATCCACACCCATACCGACACCCACATACGCCCACACCCACACACATACACCCTCAACTGCGAACGTTCAGTCGATTTTTCTGCGTTCATATCCAGTACACAAGAAAGTTCAATACTGAAGAAGTTAACATTAAAAAAAAGCAGTATTGTCCCAACAGTGCTGCCAGTGGTAATGAAAGAGATCAGCTAAGCAGTTGCAACTTCATCATTATTCAAAGGATGCTGATCTTTGTCGACAATATACGAAGATGATGAAGAAAGAAATAGTTTTATATAGTCATTGTAACGTGTCTCGATATCTTCACGTGTGAGACCCACTTCAGCCAGACTGTAAGTGTGACGACCTTGTTTTCCTTGTGGATTCTCTCGAATCCACTCTTGCATCTTCGTTTCGAATTTCTCCGACCAAGACAAACCGAAGTGATCATAGATTCGGTGTGCTGTGGCGATCGGTTTCTTCATCAAGTCATCGTAGAGCAAATGACAAATGTTCTTGCGTGGTTGGTCGATTAACTGTCGCGGTCGCATATGAAAGTCCACAATACATTCTACCATTTTATCGATCACTTGAATCATTCGTTTCGTATATACATCTGTGCTAGTTGAGATAGATTGATTAAAGTACAAGTTCTTGATACATCCCATCATATGGCAAAACGAGGGCAGCACTTCGTCGAGCCGTCGATGAACCATAATTATGGCTGCATGCGGATAATGGTGCAAGAGGACATCAAGATAAAGACTATGTATAGGCGTTTTTAAGAGCCAATGTGAGTTAGGCTCATCAAAAGAATTTAACATGCGCAGACATATTTCGTGATAGTCGTATACGAAGTGTTTGTTCATCAGATTGACAATCCAGTTATCTGATCGTGACTGGTCATCACAGCTAATGGCTGGATAAAACATACTTAAACCTGCATGACGCAAAACGTATAGATCTTCTTCGATTGGAAAGACCGCGTGAGATGCTGCTATTTCATTGCCTTTGCTGAAAAGCTTGTTTATTTGATGTGCATCTGTCTTCGCTCCCGATGCTTCTTTCTCGTATTCTGTCGAGGTCAGTTGTTGAACGAGTGGAATGTGTTCCGCAGTCATATCGGTGATTGAGGGAGCACGACAATTATCATCACAGGCCAGCAAATTGTAGAGTAGTGTCGTGCCTGTGCGAGGAAGACCACAAATAATCAATGGACCAACAGTCGGCAAGGGATGACTAAGAAGATCACTGTTTTCTGCTACATAATTGAGAGCTCGTTTACACGTTGTGTGTAACCGGTTGAAATCAGATAAAAGTAAATGTCGACCAACACGTGTCACGTGACTGTTTCGAAGTATGGCTCGTCGGTATGCCTCAAAGGTATGCAAGATATCAGTGTGATAGACGAAAAGATTCTTGGCGTTCCCCGTCAAATCATCTTCGTGTAGTCTTATATCATCTAGCAATGATGATTGCTCCATGCCATCTTCATTTAATGCTGTGTTCATCGTGTCTTATTCGCTAGACAGACAAATAGTAAAAAATTGTGGTTGTAGGAGGAATCTGAAAGAAAACATCACTTTACATTATCTCTCTTAAGAGGGTGTGGGTGTGAGTGTGGCTGTCTTATTTGTCTTCACCCACAGCCACACCCCAATATCATCTTTTACACGAGATGATTCAATATAGAACAAACCGAATACATCCATAGGAGTGATCGATCATCAATTTTAACGATCATTAGCAAAAATCGACAAGATTTAAGTAGGTATGAACCAAATTACTTTTTTTCTCTATGAGGAAGTTCCTGTAGAGATGGGCTTTCTTCGGTAGATATGTACATAATTCAAAGACAACTCGTCCATGGATTCGTATCCTCATAAGCAGTAGCAGAAAAGATTTAAAAGGGTATGGAGTATATACGTTTCAATCTTCAGGAATATTTCTCCTAGAAATGGATTTTTTCGAGCAAAAATCTAGATACTTCAAAGAAACAATCGTTGATCCATTTTTAACTCCATAAGCAGAATGAAAAGCAAATTGTGATCATTTGAGTAGTGATGGATGTATAGAGGATGACCTTAAAGAAACAAAATGCAGTACTTTTTAAAAATTTCTGATAGATTCGTAGTTTGATCTCAAATTTCTACAGCATATACTATATGAGAAGAGTTTCTTGAAAAATGCTCGCACGTCTCTTGCAGTTTTATATGACCAGCAGAAGTCTTCGCTAGTCTGATCGAAGTCAACTGATTTTTTTCTGTTGTAACATGCATTACATAACAGTAGGTTTTTTTATAGAACAAGTCTAAAACCATGTGCAAGTCGATAGATTCCAATTTACTGTATAGATTTCGATTGAAACCAATAAAAAAATAAAACTGCAATATAACAAGAAAATAATAAACTTCCCGATTATCATATTAGAGGATAAAGAAGCATTTGTACATTGTCAAATAAATTCTTGCTAGAAACACTGATGAAAGATTATTTCTCTAGTATTTTCATACAGTCTTTATAGTTTAAATATATGATCTACTTATTAATCTCTTAAGAAGAAGTTTTGTACAAGCTCTGTATTACGTTACGTTTGACCCATCTTGCATATGGATGCGCTTCTTTCTGGTAAATATAACTTGTGATATATATGTATAAATTTTTTTCTATTTCTCCTTGATATGTGTAACTTTACATGCGATGAACGATTTCTCCTTAAACGGGAACAATTTATCCGTCATCTGGTCGAACGATCCACTGTTGTGATAAAGTGGCAAAAGGACCAATGATTCGCTCACTAATTTCGAAGTACAGCTACACAGCTAAGGATTATCAGTCTCAGTTTTATCTAGTGTTGATTGGTCTATAATATTTCATAGGACTGTGAATGATTCAGAGAATGCATTAAATTAAATGTTTTTGATAAATCTTGTGTATAAACAAGGTTTAAAAAACTGATTTCATACACATTAATGTTGTTAAAAATAATTTTATAGAATGATTATTTTTCAGATAAATTTAATAAATTTTTATATACATTTTATCGGATGTATGTATTAATTCAAATAATTTTATCATTAATAGATTATTTCCAAAAAAAAATCTAATTATGTATGATTAAGTTTTTTCATCTTAGTCCATATTTGTTGTATTTGATGTTATTGATCAATCTTTAATTAGTATCATTGAATTTGTATTATTAATATTATTTGAATCTTTTTCATTTTCTTCAAGAATAACAAAACAAATTATTTCAATAGGACTTTTTCTCGTTCGACCGTTCTAAAAATTGTATATTGAAGTCAAATATCCTTCTATAACACAGAGACGGCATGATCAAACATATTTCACAAATCTAAAACTATGGAACTTATTTTTACTAGTAAAATTGAAAGATCATCTGTAGAAAATAGTCTACTGTCCGAAACAAATGATGATCGTGAATATTTTTGCAATAATTCGAGAACAGAAAGAGATAAAGAATTCTCAAAGTATATTGAGATATTCAATTTAAATTGACGAAAACAAAACATATTTTAATGTCACTTGTAAATAGAAAAGTTAAATTTTCGAATTAGTTGGATAATATTCATTTTATTTTCGAAACATTGTTTTATTTGTTGAGGTGAAGCAGGAATAGGTGAATAAATTTACTTTTAATACTTGTCGAATTGGTAGATTTGAATTTTCAACAATATCAGCTAATATAGATAAAATTTTAGGAATAAAAAAAATTTTAAAAAAACAAAACAAATGTTTTTACTTTATTAAAAATATGAAAATTTTTTTTTCTGTTGATTGATATATCATTGGAATTATTTTATAAATCTTTAAAAAGAAAACAATATTCAAAAGATATAATGGACGAGTCTTTTTTATCTTTACTTGAAAACGATTAAATTGATAATATCGAATGATAATTGTAAATTATTAAGATTATCTTATATAAATTAATGTTTCACAAAAATCTATAAGTAAACAAAATCCATCATATTGATTATGAAAAGAATGATTGAATTGTTGTTAGTATTAAAATATTTAAAACAAGCACAAATACCTTCTAAACATTCAACATAAACAAAAGAATAATTAATCTAATAAAAGATAAAAACAATAAAAATAATAAAAAATAATTTATATTCGAATTTATGATTAAGATAAACGATCAAAAATCAAAGTTGATAAACACAATATGTTTTGATATTCTAGTTGATCATTTTATATAAATAATATAAATATTCGATTGTTGTAATTAATGATGAATTTAATACATTCATTGATAAGAATAATTAATCGATATAAGTAAATTATCTATTGACCATTGACAAAGTAAAAAATGAATTGTGATCATCAAACTTTAAAGTAAAAAACAACGAGTAGTTATATTCATAAATATTTAAATAATTGAACAATATTTTCAATTTTTAAAAGTGAAATTTGATACATATAACTGGGTGTGACCAACGGTATGAGGCCCCATAGGAAATAATATTATTTCAGAGAGAAGTGCATAATGAATTTTATACTAAATAAAAGCTTGTCAAAAATAGGATTTGTTGGTACTAAATAGTAAGAGTTTTGTGAACCTTGTAATATTGAACTTCTTACCTTTTAGTTTTCTATGCCAATAATGTATGAAATTTCTCAAAATTTGTTAAGTTCAATATTACAAGTTACACAAAACCCCCTTACTATTTAGTACCAACAAATCCTATTTTTGACAAGCTTTTATTTAGTATAAAATTCATTATGTACTTCTCCCTGAAATAATATTATTTCCTATGGGGCCTCATACCGTTGGTCACACCCATATATATATTTTTTTTAATTTCCTAGAACTCAATCAATGTCTGATCATTTTACAAAAATTCTTAGTCGTATGGAATTAAATGATTTATGTTCAGAAGATTCAATTGAAAATTCTAATGAAGATGAACGTCGAATAACAAATGGAGGAAAAAATGCATTTGGAACATTTCTTGAACAAATGAGGTAAAAAAAAATCAATATAATTCTATTGTTGAAAATTATTTATCATGTTCTAGACAAGCTAATATTGAAATATGTGCATTACATGATATTCTAACATTAGTTATGAGTCATCATTATTTTAATTTATTTTCAAATGTTACTAATATGGAAGAAAAGGAAGTCCCTCAATTTCCATGAGCGATTCCCCCACGCTGGAATTTTATTCTTTTTAATAGCATTTTGTTAGGACCCATATGAGGATACTAGAGCACTAAACCGAATCATGGACATTTCTAGTTTTGGCCAAAAAATCAATACATTAAGATAAGGGTCGTTGTCATCAATTAATTGACCCTAATGCTATATGATATTTTGTATTTCATCAACCGTTAGATCAGCAGCTATAAAAATTGCACTGTATATAGAGCTCATGGTACTGTATAAAATAAAAATAAAATCATATTGGACAATTGCTTTATTAATGAGTACGATCTATCATAAAGGAGTACTGAGTTATGCACTGATTTTGCAGTGCATTGAAAAAATTATTTTGTTTATAACTTGATGAAGATTCATTATTGAAAGGTGAATTTTTTACCATTCATACAGCTTCACACAAGCTATCAAAACAATAAAAAAAATTGGAAAAAGATCACGATTCTCAAAATGGTGATTCAAACTTTAGGAGAAAGACACCAAAGCAAAACGGTATAGCAAAAAAAACAGCTATTATTTCAAGATTTTGACATCAAAAACAAGGTTTCTGTTTAAAATAACCATCATTTTCGGAATCAGGAGATCAAAATACACCAGAAACTCAATAATTTATCTAAAATTTTTTATCATCGAAATTTTCACCTGTAGAGGGTACAGCCTAAAATTCTACTCATAAAAGGCTGAGGGGGAGTAGGGTCACAATTTTTCATGAGAAAAAATTGTCGACGAAATATAGAGTTTCTGATATATTTTAATACTCTGATTCCGAAAATGATGGTTATTTTAAACAGAAACCTTGTTTTTGATGTCAAAATCTTGAAATAATAGCTGTTTTTTTTGCTATACCGTTTTGCTTTGGTGTCTTTCTCCTAAAGTCTGAATCACCATTTTGAGAATCGTGATCTTTTTCCAATTTTTTTTATTGTTTTGATAGCTTGTGTGAAGCTGTATGAATGGTAAAAAATTCACCTTTCAATAATGAATCTTCATCAAGTTATAAGCAAAATAATTTTTTCAATGCACTGCAAAATCAGTACATAACTCAGTACTCCTTTATGATAGATCGTACTCATTAATAAAGCAATTGTCCAATATGATTTTATTTTTATTTTATACAGTACCATGAGCTCTATATACAGTGCAATTTTTATAGCTGCTGATCTAACGGTTGATGAAATACAAAATATCATATAGCATTAGGGTCAATTAATTGATGACAACGACCCTTATCTTAATGTATTGATTTTTTGGCCAAAACTAGAAATGTCCATGATTCGGTTTAGTGCTCTAGTATCCTCATATGGGTCCTAACAAAATGCTATTAAAAAGAATAAAACTCCAGCGGGGGGGGGGGGGGGGAAATGGCGGAGTTCCTTTAAATACCGGAAATGCTCGATAACAACGTGATTTATTAATTCGACAAAGTCAAGGTATAATACATAAATCATGGATATCAAAACGCACAAGTGCACGACAAGCAGTTGATGTTTTATTATCATCATATGAACGTGTTATGAAAATAATTAATACAACAAGTGGAAATTTAGAACATTTTCATGTACAATTATCAAATTTAAGACAACGTTGGAAAAGGGTGGCTGGGTGTGGGTGGGTGGGTGTATCTAGCCTATATCCACACCCACACCCTATTTTTGTTCTACTTTCTTTGTTAGAATGTAATATTCGATGTCTAACTAGAAATTGATCTTTTAACATGTTTCAATAATAAAAACTTGTTTTGATATAATATTTCGTTATCAATAGTTCTAATTTATCGTATTGATATATGATTTTTGATTCCATCGGCGTTAGAAATGACTAAATATGATTTTTATTTTGCTTGTATTTATCACCAATTTGTATTAGCTATAAATAACTTTTATCTAAAATTTAAATTGATTGAGAACTTAATACAGGTTTTATTATTATAATATGCTACACTATTTGGCTAGATGAGATAATAAAACATTACCTCTCCTAGTTCCATTTTCGCCTAAAAACATGTTTTTATGTAAATGTAAATTTTGATCATTTTTTTCATTGATGAAGTATCCATCTAACTTTTTGCGATACAACAATAATTATTTCATCAACTCTCGTTTAAATTTCAAGCATCAATAGAGACTATGATATCACCTTTTTATTGACATATAAAAATTAAAAGAATTGTCTCGAACGAAAACTAGTAAAAATGTATTTACTTCCATACCCATCATATGATAATTAAGTCAGATTCAATGGTTTTATTCTATAGTATTTCTTACAATCGATTTTCCGTCTGAAACTACTCTAAACATAGCGAACAATTCTACAGAAGAAACTTGTTATCATTCACTCTGAACATGTTCATCTTTGACAAATACAAATATGTCTAATTAGCATCTGTAGATTGAAGTTCAATTAGTGAATCAACTCTTGCAGTTTTAGACTAGCTTTGTGACAATACATCAGAAATCAATGATTGCTCAAAAACACGGAACAGATGTTCATCAAAATCGAGATCAATTGAAAGCAACTTTACATATCTTTAGACCCTACTGAAAATTCAATTTATTATCTCTAATTGAAACACTTAAGTTTAGGTAAATAAAAAAATATAATGAGTACATAAAAATGATTATTCATTGACGATATTGTTTATGTTTAAATGAGGCACATCTCACGAAGAGTAGGATTTTTTCTACATCTGAAACAAACAAAATTATATGAAAAAGAAAAGAAATTATTCCATCTACCCTTCGATAAAATGTTCCTTGCTTATTTTTGCGTCCGTATTGATACCAAACATGGCAAATACTTCTGAAGCCATCTGTTTCGCACTTTTGGGAATTGTTGTTTTCCTCGATGCCAATAAATAGATCTAAAATAATCAATTATGATTATTTATGCACTCATTGAATTCTACTCGAAAGAAACATTCAGATTAACTTACAATAGATTCGAAGGCATCTGTTAGTTCCTGATAATCCAAACACCCATCACCAGATACATCATACCTATTTAATAAAATGGAAATATTAGATTGTGTTCAAACCACAGCACTCAATCGAACTAACATATGAAAAAGATCGATATGTCCATCTATAGTATTTGGTCTGAGGAAAGCCAATGCCGTTATAAATTCTTTGAAGTCAATTGTTCCATCTTTATTTTTATCGAATGCAGCAAATGCATTTCTAAATATATAGAAAGAAAGATTCAAATCATCGGACGAGTATCTGAACATACTCGCAAGCTACTTCATCTTTAATATCGAAATCAGGCTTTAATAGATCGTACCAGTGAAGAAATCGTTTTTTGTCCATTCTACCTGACGGGTTATCTTCCAAGAAAGCCTAAAGCACATTCGAGCAAAAATAGAAGATAATAGTTTAAATCACACATAATCTATGATTACCTCGTAATTATTCTTGATATCTACAAAAGAACAAACGATGTTATATGAATAGAAAACAAATTCTCTTTCTGCTTACCATCAACACTGAGATTGGAAATCTTTTGCAATTCAGCAATTTCTAGAATCACAACAAATCAATCAATAGATCAATCCATAATGAAAAATATTTGATTGATGAGCAAACCTTTGTCAGTCAGCGTATTCGAATTGGCATTTTTAGCAACAAATCGATTGCCCATGATGAATAGAAATATGTATCGATAGAAAAAAAAACGTATCTATATACAAACACGAACAAAGATAGATAAAGAATGAAACAGCAAAATAAAAAGTGTAAAAATGTTATCGACATAACCATTAGAGACAAAAGAACAGTGCAGCAACGTTCAAAATGTCTTGATTTGATTGACATGAATTTTTTTTTGTTCTGTTTTATTTGAAAAAAAAGAGAATCGATATTTGGCGACAGAGAAGAACGACAATCAGTTTTCGATAACTACACATTTAGAAAAGCAAAAGAATATTGATTTCTTCTGAAGTTTGTGATACTGACAGAATGTATTGCTAAGTCAGAGAGAAAAAAAATATGATTCAATTAATTGCGAATAATTTACCTAACTTCCACTGTTTCATTTATTTTCTTTTGCCATGTTATTGTAATTATATATATGCATTCTTTTTCTTTGGCCTTCAGTAATGAAAAAACATAAATAAAAAACACTTAACAAAAAACGTTCTCACGAGTCGAAATGACCTGAATAGAGATGGTTATTCAATCACTCAAAGCAGTCTTGATTGAATGGCGATTAAGACAGTGGTGTAGCCAAGGGAGGAGCAAATGGGCAACTGGTCATTTTATTTGAAGATTTGCCTAATGAAATTTTTATTAGTAAGTTTTTGCCTTTTGGAATTTTACTTTTTCAGAATTGTTTATTTATTTTTGGATTAGATAGTAACTCTATTTCTTTTTTTTGTTTATCGATTCATACTTTGTTTTCAAAAGTATTTCATAGTAAAGAAAGACAACAACCATTATATCGCTTAGAGTAAAAGACCGTATACTGAAAGCTAAGAAGATCGATCATAGTTGGATCAAATGAATGCTCTCACTGTCAAACCAACTAATTAAAAATATGAATTGCCATACTTCGGTTTTTTTTTCGGTTATGGTTGGATGGAACGGGACCATTTACATAAGAAAAAACAATATCACGCATATTAAAAAGCAAATTCTACGAAGTCTAAGATAACATTTTTTGAATTATAAGAGTAATTAACAACAAAATCTTAATTGCTATCAAATTGCTCTTGAATGTGTGTGATATTGCTTCTCCTTATGTAAATAGTTGTGTTCCATCCAACCATGATGAAAAAAGAAAACTAAAGGTTGATGAAATTTCGTATTGTGAGCACATAACAAACTGTAAATTTCTTAAAATTTAAACATCTCGGTCTTTGTACGCTATTGGCAGCTCATGTTTTAAACTAGTTGGTCTGTGAGTGAGAATATTCATTTGATTCGATTATGGGGAATCTTCTTAATTTGTCGGTGCATGACCTTCAATTGTTAGTTAATACAAAAAGA